AGATAGAAACTTACTGTACAGAGAAGAGCAAGTGTTTCCTTCCAAAATTTCAGAGGCCTGGTATTTACAAGGCTCATGAGATCATTGTTCACCATTGCAGAGACAATCTGGAAATGTAAATGACCTTAGTCAAATAGAAATACTTCAAATTACCAATTAATAAACAATAAAGGTCTATTGAATGAATAAAAATCATATCTATCCATCCAGGTTGTTAAGGTATCAGATAAACCCCTTCATTGATCTAGAAACATATTTAATTTACCTTCAGGTAGGGTGAGCGGTTCATCTTGAGATACCGATCACGTGTTGTCTCCCATAAGGAAGTGCCACCAACATGAGCAATAACTAAAGCATCAGCCATTTTGTTTGCTGATATGCAGAGAGCAACAGCTCCCTTGTAGTTTCCAACAACCAAGGCATGTTGAACAGCATCTTGGAATGACAGGTCAGCACTATCCTCCAGTTCTTCGTGTTCTTCAGGCACTTGATCCTTTGGAGTAGAACTCTCAACAGTGAAGTTGTTAGCAGAAGCTGAGACAGGTGTATCAGCTTTGGGACTTGGAAGATTGTTAAAGAAATCTTCCCCATTATCAGCAGCAAAGATGGCAGCTTCTTTCTGTGCATCAAATCCAACACTATCTTCCATTTTATCCTCAAGTGTAACACCATTTATTCCCTGAGCGAGGTCTTCTGGTACGGTATCTTTTTCTTCAGTAGGTAAACTAAAACCAAGATGCATAAGCAATTTTGTCCTAGCTGTCCCATCATCTTCAAACATAACCTTCAAGAAGCCCCAAGTTTCTCGGTCATCTTCAGTTCTGTTCAGGCATCCCAAATAGATCGATAAAGCATTAGAAGTTAACCAATCATTTGATACAGAAGCAATAAAGAAATAACTTCTTTTTCTTAGATCATATGACATACTCAGACTCCAGAGATTTTTTCTCACAAAAAACCCTCATTGAAGACCTGTCCCCATTCTGTATCACAGCCTCAAATTCAGATGAGCGGCTGACCAGACTTTCTTCAGTAACCAAATTATGCATAAAAACCTGAAGACATCAAGTAGGTCAATGAGAACCCAGGGTTGAAAAAGACAGGAGACAAGAGAGATGCTCCATACAAGAGGCTTACCTCTGAGCCAACAGGAGCACCTCCAGCAGATGGCCGAGGATGAAAAGAGACAAGTTTTCCCCCAAAGCTAAAAGATGCCCCAACAGGACGCTTATACCATTTTGGAGCTCTCAGAGGTGCTGCAAAGAAAGAGGATTGTACAATAAAAAGAGGGACTCTCAAACTTCTGTTTATAATCAATGATAACTATAGCATGGAACAGAAAGTGTGGTTCCCTAATGTTCTGAACCTTATATTTCCATCCAGGGAAAGTTCATGACTCATTAATTTTACGATTTTCACAAGTTTTATAGAAAGACCAATATGTAATCAAGCAGAACGAGGAAATA